CCCCAAAACCCCAAAACCCCAAAACCCCAAAACCCCAAAATTCTTAAAAAAAGTTGAAACATATAAACACCCTGTGAACAATTTAGCATGAAATTTTTGAATGAAATATAAACATCAGAGAGATCTAGCTTATATGATAGTTATAAAGGTTTTCTTCTTCTTATTTCTACTTTTATGCTTCTTAGCAACGGACCCTGACTTGAGGTTGAACAAGGGATTCCCATCAAATTGCTTTTTAATTCGTAATCGTCGTTGTTTTAGAGATGTGCTTGGAGCCTTTTTAACTATAGAGAAAAATTTTCATAGTAAAGGTATTGGAAATTGATCAAGGAGAGCAGATAGGAAGAACTAAAGGTCAGGAGAGCTTTTAGATCGATTTTTGGTGTAGAATTGTACCTTTTGGGGTAAAATATTGGAAGATTGGATCGAGTTTAGAACAGCTGTTTTGGGAGCTAATGCTTGGGTTGTTTCGAGATTTTTGGGGCTGTTTTGTTTCTTCTGGATTTTTGTAAGCATAACTTGAATAAATTTGCTTTATACATTTAGATTTGCGAGATATCTGAGGTGTTGTAGAAGACCTTTGAGTCTTCAACTGAGACTTTACTCCCTCTATTGGTCTAATATCTCCGGGCTTTGCTACAATTAATTTTGTACAAGATCCTAAAATTATCAAAACATCATACCTTGATCGTAGCTCTCATAGCTTATCGCCTTCATATCCCTATTCGTATCTCCAACTCCTTCCTTGTAAGATGTCTGATACCCAAAATCTTCTTGAAGGTCTTGGTTGTGCTTAACAGTAAGTTCCTAAAATCGTTTAAAAGACTTCTTCCTGAGATCTCTTACCTTTCTTGACTGAGATTCAAGGAAGACTTTTGGAGTGGTCAAGGGAATATCGAGTATTTCATTCTTTGTTTCCGGGGATTTACTTCTGACCTTCTTCCTCCCTAAAATTTGTTACCAGAAGTTACTTCTCATCACTTTGATGTTTCTCTCAAATTTTCACAAATCGAGGTTGTTAAACAACTCAAAATGAGCTTTCCTATACTGCTCATGCAGGTATGGCCTTCTAAAGGAATTATTTAGCCATAATTTAGTTATAATATTTTCATATGAGGTTCAAGATTTCTCAGTAAATTTCAGGGAATCTCCAAATTCAGCATTCATAAATGAATTATAATACCAAAATTACTTAACCAAAAATCTTTGAGTAAGAAAAGGGGCTATGTATCTTTATTATTCTGAAACTTTTACCTGAGTATCATCTTCATTTGCATGAGTTCTTGAATAACTTTAGATTTATCTGCCTCCAAGGCCCGAATCCTCGCTTCATAATCAACTTTCGCCACTTGGAACTCTTCATTCATCTTCATGACTTCCTTTATGTGTTCTATTTCTCTTAATTTTTGTCTAAAAGATTATTTGAGATTTACTTGTCCTCAAATTCGTTGATTTCTAAATGCAGATCTCCAATAATTCCTTCCAGTTCATCAATCTTATCCAAAAGATGAGTATCCACAGCCTGGGTAGACTGGTTTTTCACCAGTGGCTTCCCAGTGATGAATGTAAGGTTTTCCTGGATTATATTCTTCAGGCTAATAAAGTCATTCAAAGGCGCCTTTGCCATAATTCTGTGCTTCCCTTCTACCAAAATCAACTAACGGAATTACTTCTCTCTAATTTCTCTTCATATCTGTTAGCTTCATCAGTGACATATGATGTGAGCTCTGAGAGGTGGAAACCTTGAATCTATGTTCAAGCAAGGAGCCTTACCTACAAGCGAGTCATTGATCTAACACGTTTATTCAACTTGGAAATCTTTGATTTAAGGTAGAAGTTATAGTTTATCAAGTTCTGAAGTTCACTGTCAACTACTCTTTCAAGATTAAAAATCTTTTCCTTGATCATCCCTTCAAGATTGTTGATAAGCATTTGCTATACGATTGTCAACGAAAATACTTTTTCATTCTCAAATTGAATTTTATGAGAGACCCTAATAGACTGAAACCTCTTCAGCATTTCTTTACTTCTGCTCCTTTATCCAAGACATTTTATCCTTTGATAAGGATTGTTCTAAGAGTGAGACTCAAAGGTACCTCCAACAGAAACAGAACCTAGATTATCTCTAGCGTTACTTCTCTGGTGATAATTTGCTCCAAAATTCCCTCTGCCAGTGCTGTAGCCATCATAAGTAGGGGTGTTTGACCGAGATTTGGAATTGGAATGCAAATATTCCTCACTAAGTTCATCAGTATTTTCTAAAACTCCTCGATTAGCTTGTAAGATTTCGTCCATGTTATACTTTAAATTAAAAGAAATCTCATCTGAATGGTATAAACTCCTCAGCTCCTAAATATTAACCAAGTCTCTACAGATGGGTTGGATCTTGAATGCTTCTTATTTGCCTTTATGTAATTATCCTTCACTACATTGATCAGCAGAGTTAGATACCTTCATCACAAAGTTTAGTAAGCCAACTGTTCTCTTCCATATTACTGAATATAATTTATTTTCTCAATATTTCTTAAATATTAAGGGGTTTTGGGGTTTTGGGGTTTTGGGGTTTTGGGG